TGCGTCACAGCGGCAACGCACACGTAATTTTATACACAGTTGGTGTGTGTATACCGAGTTTATTAATACTCCGCACAATAACAAACACCGCGTACGTACCTACGTACGTACGTACGTATTTATGTTTCCTCGCTTCGGCAATGTTAAAAGTGCAATGAGCAAATATTTTGCAAGCGCATAAATATCGCGTGCATATAGATTAAGGATGGAAATAAATATTTCTGTTGTACGGAGAAGAGTCACGCGAATATAGCGCTACCGAGAAATAAGCGGTGATTTTACATGAAAAAAAAAAAAATCAAAAAGAAGAGAGAAATTTGTTTTGTTCAAAGTTGCGTGGAGAAAAGTAATATCGTTTGTTTGTACAAATTTCTTTTAAGACATAGTGTGTTAGTTTTGAATATACATTATTTCCAATTGCCAATGTTTTTGCAAGCAGCGCAGAATAAAAATAGTGGTTTTTTAAGTAAAACGGAAACGTTCTTTTCGTAGCAAATTGAACATATTTCATCGTTAAAGTGCTTTTGCAAATGTCTTGAGCAAACTGGATCACTAAAAGAGACGTTCAATATTTGTCTCTGTAATTAAAATAAAAGCTACGTTAACTCCGCGTGGAAAATCAATTATTCCTGATTCCAGAATTCGTGCTAATGATCTGATATTTTCGCCCTATTGACGCGAATTTTCTTAGCGGTTAAAAAAATAAATGATCCGTTCTTCGTACAGTTTTGTCGCAGAAAAATCGGCTTGTCGTTCGCGGAATTAATCTGTTTTAATGGAGCAAGGGAAGCCAGCGATATATTATTTCTATATTTTATCGCGCTCGCGAGATCAAGCTATTTCCCTAAACGACGTTGACTCACCGCGTGATTGCCAGCTTTTTCAATTAGATTTGCAAATCCTCTGTGATTCGAATCGAGCGCGGGTTTGACGTGCCGCCGCGATCCCCGCGGGTCATAAACGTTTGTATCACGCGGCCTGTGCGAATGCCAATCACAACTAATTGCTGACATCGTTATGCTCGAATGCGCAAGAAATCAAGGCACAAGTGCGAAGAACAGAGGCGGGCGCAACAGCTATTTTTCTTTTTTTAACGCGACTAAAGAAAACACTTTTGCCAGTGTTTGTCAATATGTGTACAAAAGAATCCAACCGCAAGAAAAGAAAAGAACAATAATATAAGTATGAATTACGTTGTTTAAATTTTGAGGAGACAAAAATATTTATAAAAGTATTCTATGTAAAACGCACATTCTTTATTGCGAGTAATTTTTTCTTTAAAAAAGAGAAATATGTAAATTTATGTCACGCCGCAAAATAATTAGCTCTTTGTTCCTGGCGCGGACAATTTTGTTTTTTATGTGTTTGCGCCCTTACAGTAACCAACAATGAAAAGTCTTGACTTAAAAAATAATATTCAACGTTTTACGAAGAGAAGTGGAGGAACATAGTTTGTAGTTCTTAAATAAAAATTGATCTTTTCTTCGAACACATGCACGTATTTAATTCGTTTCACATTATTTAGTATCAAAACTTGGAGACATTAAGGTAAAACAATATTTTGACACGAGTCACGCAACTAAATGACACACTTTTCTTTCACCGACTGCCAGCTACAAACATATGTATCGCACTTAACGATCGTAACGTACCCACTCGATTGCTCAGCATTCTCGAAAGAGACGTACATACGTTATCGTCTCAATTAATTGAGAAACCACGTAGAGGTTTCGAGAGGCTATTAATTGGACTGTTATTATAGTTCAGCGTGTTTCCCGCGAGTTGCCGAACTCTCCGTGCAAGAGATCGCGGATCCTGGTTATATCTGACAGACAAGGTAGAGCTTAGAATCCGATTTTAGTTATCGATCTCTCACATCACGTAAATTGGTGCACTTATATGTACGATCGCCGCGAATAACATCCGTCCTATTTTCCGTCGTTAATGCAAACGTGTTTACAAATGCTGAGAGCGAGAGAGAGAGAGAGAGAGAGAGAGAGAGAGAGAGACAGAGAGAGAGAGACAGAGAGAGAGAGACAGAGAGACTCCGAAACATTTTATTCCGCTGCATTTTACAATTTTCTACAAAACAAGAATCTGCGGATATTAAATTTCATACCGAAAACAGCGGCCAGAATTCTGTTATTCCATCAATCCTCATTCACGAAACAATCTGTATACGTTTTTTTTGTTTTTTGTTTTTTGTTCCCGCGTACGTGAAAATTTTATTGTTCCCAACAAATCAATTACCGTGTCTCAATAAACAGACAGCTGTGTTAAACAATTTTTGCATTGTTCGCTGTACCGTGGCGGTATCATGGAGAATACATAACAGGCCGTATTGCTGGGTTGAGAAATAACATTTACACGACGCGCTACCTAGTTTGCGTCTACTTATTGATTTAGCTCTCCATCCGCGAATAGAATCAACGCTGCCGTCGTGGGGATTTTGCAAAATGATTACCGGAACATGATTAGAAGCTGTCGCTCGAAGCGCGACGTTTAATTAGACAATAATTAACGTTCGCTCCAATTTCAAAGTTCCGCGCCGACAAGATGAAAACGTTAAAGACTGTGCGCCGACATACGAATCTTTGTAGCCTTGCCATCCGTTTTTTTTTTTTTTAACAAATCGAGATTCAACAACAAAAAATATTGGCACATTTAGTTTGCAGTGAGAAACATTTGTTGCTAATTATTTTTATTAGACAAGAAAAAAGAAAGCGTCGATAATTTATCAGAAGAAAAGTATGTCGTATGATTAAACTGAACATCCATTAGCGGAGAATAAAGCAATTAATTCCATAACAACGTCGATATAATCCAGAAAACGAGTTGCTTTAAAATAACCAAAGTTTTGCATGAAAGTTTTATCGTAATAGCGCTGATTATGAATTCTTTTTGGTATTATCCCGCTGGATAAAATAAAAGGCGCAAATGTCGCCTTTTATCTTTGGTCACGGAAGCTTTTATGGCTTTTATTAGCTAAAAGAAAATCGATATATTATTAATTCGTTCGCGAGACGTGCGTTTGCGCAACGATAAGCTTCATTAAGAATGAATGACCGATATTAGCGGCTTCAAACGCGCGAGGTAAAAGTTTCTCGAGATGCTCGTTAGAGTAATACTTTCCTTTTATTAAAGACTAAAAAATACATTGAGATTTTGTTGCTTTGTTTATAGCAAATCCTCGTGTTCTTGTCACTTTATTTATTAGCGATATTAATTAGTTCAAATAGAAATATAATCACTTCATATATAATTCAGTTAAAAAAAAAAAAACTAAATATTGTATTCCTTTTTCTTTTTTAGACATTCTTTTATTAAAGGCTTTATATATATGTATATATGTCTTTAAATTAGATGCGAAATGCTCCATTCAGCTTAGAAAATGTCGCTATTTTCGTTTTTTCTTTGTTTTAGCAACAAAGTAACAGCAGAACTGCATTTGTCGTTCCGCAAAATTTCAAGGAAAACTAAAAACCGAGTCGGACTAAAGAGCAAACGGAGAAAAACGGCGGAGTGTTGCTCGGTAAAGCACCATAAAGTCTCATTGGCTTTAATTCGGTCGTACCCCCGCTGGCCACTGGGAGTGATTAATCGTAACGTTACTTGCAATACGAAACCACCTTAAATACCACCAATCATTCCCCACGATGCTTTAAAAAGAAAGTCGACAATGCGCTTAATGTGTTGTCGCCTAATTTGGTATATTTGTCTTGTTGACAAAATGAAGTCGTAAATATCTTACAAAGCGCTCTTGTGTATTTTTAAAAATATAAGCGATTACCGCGCGTCATTTGAAAAATTTTATCTTCACGTGAAATAAAAATCTTCAAGAAGCGTGTGTATAATTCTTTTGTAACATATAACAGTTTTTTTACATGTAAAGCAGCATTTCGCAAACTTTATTATTTATTCCTAAAATAAAGAAAAAATACAATAACGCTATTGGGAAATTTTATCTCACGTAAAATTGTAAATTACGTTCAAGAAGTTTCTGTCGGTCGATTCTTAGCAACTGCTGCTGAAGATCTGTATCCTCATTTATTAAAATTCATCGTAAAAGAAAGGGGCTTTCGGTTTACGGCGATAAAAAATTCAACTACTTTTTAAAAAGAAGGGAAGATACTCGGTCAATGTTTAATCTTTAAATAGAACAAGATATATAATACATTCTTATGCCTTGGCGTTTTGCGCCTCTTATTAAATCCTGGAACTTTTAGAACTAGCTTTTAATTTTTTATTACGTTTACGTTCTGGAAAGTTACTCGAGAGATTTGCAAATGAAAACGTGTGACGAATCTGAAACACTTATTATATATTTTCTTGCGCAAATTGCAACGAGAAAACAGTGTTCTTTACGTAAAGAAATATAATATAACAAAGAAAAAAGCACACAAGTAAAAATTAGTAAAACTCTCATTTATGAGCGCACAAGAATTAAAAAAAAGAACTAAAATATCAACTCTCACTTCTAATTATAATTCTCTGATTTTTTTTAATTAAATCCATCTCATTTTTTTATATACGTGCGATACATTAACGCCTCGAAATGTAACAAAGAATAGACGTGTAAAGAAAATAAAATGAAACAACTCGAAAAGGAGAGAGAGCTGCGCGAAATTCATATACGATTGCAATAAATATGCCGGATAATCGGAAATGAAGTGCCGCTCGCAAATCCGCACGCCGGTATTTAAGCGCGAGAGTGTATCGTCGAGCATAATCCGCGCGCGTGCGGGTTACGTGAAGCGAAACAGAACGCTTATGAATTCTCGAAGAGTACGTTTATTTCCCGTCGCTCATAAATATGCATGAAGCACGGCCGTATTTCTCGGTGTACAGAGAAATAAACGACACACACACACGAAAACAAAAAAAAATATATATACATATTTTTTTTGTTTTTATTTTATTTATTTATTTATTTTTTTTTTTTATTTGATCGGTGGCAAAGCGCTGATTGAAAGCATGCTCACGTTCTGTTGTTGTTTCAGCTACGTGAATACACCCTGACCGAGTCATACCACGAAGACGATGTCGAGGTGGAATTCGTCAGCAACGACAATCTGCAAGCGAACAGCGAGGCTCCCAGGGGAATCGATCCGAACAGGGACCTAAACGAGGCCATAGCCGAGGAACGGAGGGAAATGGACACCCAGAGATACAGGTACGTCTCTCTCCGGCTATCCCCGAGACTTTTTCATTCCTCGCTTCTCGCCCACGTTTGCCCACGTTCAACTTTTTACTCCCGTGCATTTCCCGGGAAACTGCTGGGAGTAACAAATCGCGCTTTGTCGCGTGTTTGCTAAGCGAACTTTGAAATCAAAGAGCTGTCACGTCTCTTGACTTCTTTTTACGTGTCTCTTTCCTGCTTGTCAGACGCTTTGCTGATTTTGTTTTCGTAAATTAATCAAAAAGTAAAAAAAAAAAAACAGTTATAATTATTTTTACTGAAAGGTTTAGAACGTTGGTGTATGAATGGCTTGTATAACAGAGAGATGTCTGTATGTCTGATAATACATACTTTTCGCTCAAATATTACTTAATTTTTTTAAGATTCGGTCAAGAACAAGAACATCACTAACGGAACGGAAGAACATCACTACCTCATAAATCCCCATAATAAGATGAGAAAGTTCGAGAAAAATATCATTAAGTTTAAGTCAGCTCGTTACGCCTATAGCTGTGTCTACTTTCCCTTCAAGTTCGGGCACGTCATTCGAAACTTTTAAGATCGATAAAACGGCAGATAGTAAGCGCCCGCTTCTCGGAGATGAGAGAGTCGCGTAAGTGACGAGTATATATTCAATGGACGCAGCTGCGTCAAGCGTATTCCATTCCGTGGAAATCGACGACAATGTCCGCATATCGGTATCGAATTTTGGAAATGGCGTCATCGACGCGAAACCGATTCCCCGCGTCCGTCTCTCTCTCTCTCTTTCGTTCTCTTGCGACAGAGTCGAAAAGCAAACGTGCGCGGAAAATCATAGAATTTCACGGGCAAAATGCAGCGCATCGCTCGAAACGTCATCTTTCTAGCAGCGAGCTTCTCGCTCAAAGAGCGGAGCGACAAATATTTAAAGCAAACGTGCCTTCGATGCTGTCAGATACCCCGTCGAGATACTCCAGAAGGAAAAGTCCATACACTTGGAAAAATGAGAATATTGAGAACATCGCGAGTAAAAAGATCTTTCTTGAATAATAAAAAAATCACAAACTTATGACAACGTTAAAATAGCATTTTGTATTATAATAATAAGCAAAAAGTATAATATAGTTATCCCGAAGCGGAATATAAAAACGCAAAGAGAAATTTTGACAATTTTATCTTCGGTCTCTAGTGGTCATTGCACTTTGCCGTTTTCTGCGTCACATGTGTTTGCAGGCAAACCTCATTCTTTCAGTGATCGATGCTGATACTGACTACTATCGACTACTCGCCTTTCTCTCGTCTCACATGAAAGACCCTGTACATATCACGCTCGAAAAGAGATTCTTCTATCGCTCTCTTTACGCGACCGAACTGTTTCCTTTCGAGATGGCCCTTCATGTCTTTCGGCAAGATTCCTTCACTAAACACGCGCTTCTTTTCTCTTCGACTGTCGCAACGAACAGGCTCTTTGCATGAAGATCGCGAGAGAGTTTCTTTCCCGCGATGTGTAGCAAAAAATCACCGGACTTGCTTGCCGCGACGTTTGACAAGACCAACGCGTTCCGTACGATAATAGAGAGCGAAAACATCGCTGATGCGCGGAGAGGAAAACTCACTCGCGGGAAACACGACTTCTCACTTTCGTCCCGGCAACATCCCTCAAGTTTCTTCAATTAACTTTAATAAAACTGTCTGCTTTTTATTCCTAATACACGCTCGAAGTGCAAACTGTGAATTACTGCTAACACCTCTCGTCCCAATTGCACGGGAATAAAAGTTTAAGGAGAATTTATGGGAATGTTTTAAGGCCGCACTTTTCCCGGGAGGCGGGCGGCCGCGCGCAAACATAAAACGTTTGTACTTTCCAGAACCGAAATAAATTCCCTCATCCGAGAAATCGTAAAATATATGTAAATAAATGATTATGTTAATTTCGCGTTTATCAATTTGACGCAAATTCCTACGGCTTACTGATTACATAATAATCAAAATTTACACGTAATTTTAATTGAAAATTAAATGAAAATTAAATATAAAATTAATTACAATTAATTCTCTCTTTGATTCATATGTAGAAAATTTGAAATATGTATTCGAAATTTATACAAAAATGATTATAAATAATGAAGTATAATTACGCGGACGGAATTTGGAATAATGTAATATAAAGCGGCGCATTTAATGCACAGAACAAATTCTTTTGAGATTAGAAATATTTTTCTGTTTTGTTTGTAAAACCTCTATGCGTGCGACAGATGCGTAAAAAAATTAATACATCTTCTAAAATGTTTCTCATTTATTTAAAATTTTAAAATACGCATATTTTTTTGTATACGTACACGTATCTCAATATAAGACTGTTCCTTAAAAAAATAGTTGGTACAAAAGCATGAAACGTGTTAAAGAGAGAAAAAAACAAAAGCGCAACACAGTAGCTAATTGATGATGAGAGCGAATACTGTACGCGATGAAGAGACTAATATTCTTTCGTTTTGTTTATCAAAACACCCCGACCCGGAATACCCCGAAGCCACAAATGCAATTTATCGTGAAACGCAGCTAGTCGGATTGGCTACGCAGTCGATACACACATTGAATACCAATAACGATACTATATATATATATGTCCGTCGCGTCTGATCCCCGTCGTTGTGTATCGAATCTCTTTCTGCCTTGATATTGCCTCGATTCGAAAACTTATTACTTCGATGCGACATTATATACGCGCTACACGCACGATGACGACGTTCTTACGTTTTCTTGCAGTCGTCGTTGGCTGCGAGATGTCCCTGGGAAGCTCGCTTTGAACTTCAACTTTGAAGTTGCTCGACATCGTCAGCGGAGGACTTTTATCATAATGAAAAGTAAATTGTCGACGACTTTCATCAACTCAAATGAGAGTCCGGAAATAAAATGTTTGTGTGAATATCGTAAACAACTCGATCAGTTTCATCGAAATCTATGGCGAAAAACGTTAAAATATATAAAATTTTCTTGAAACCGATAGATGTGCCGCTTTAATGAAATAATTTTTTCACATAAGTAAAATTAAATTACGTAATTACGTAAGTGCACAAAATAAAACACTTATAGACGATATTACGAAAAAGAACATATTTCAAAGCGAATTAATTTTTATACAACAAACAGCAACTTGTAGATAAGCGCATGACACAACATACGCTCGCTTTCTGCATTAAAAGCGCAGTGAAAATCGTCATAAATCCGATGTTTTCCAACTTGAATAAAATCTCGCTATCTTATTTGCCATCCGCGACACATTCGGCTGTTATTCGCGTGACATTGCGCGCGTCCCGTATATGTTCCTGTGTGTATTCGCGTTCTGAATAGTATTTATCTTTCCTACATCGGGCGTAGGGCGCGTCGTAAAAGTGTAATAAAATTCACCGGGAGTTGAACGGTTTTTTCTGCATTGCGATCGGCTAGCAACCTCGCTTCAACGTCCATCGGCTGATTATGGTATTACTTTCCGCGAACGTCGTGATACGCGACAATTTCTGCGATACGTCCGGCGCGGCGGTTCGCCGTAATATCCGGCCCGGAACTCGCGGCAATGTCAGACTGACGAGGAACATCGGACACACACCCGGGCGAAACGCACGTAGTAGAGAGAAGCCTGAAAGTATAACGTTATAACGCGGCCCGTTATATCGTTTCACTCCCGTGTTTTATACTTGTTTTATTCCGGCACCGGACGTCGCTGCGGCGAGATTTTCATGACCTCCAATTTCGATCAAGCTGTCGGACGAAATTGGAAAAATAAAGGGGTTATTTTTCCCGACAAGCTGATCGAGCGGCGAAATATTATCGCAGGTGGCGGAAAATATTTGGGCGCAGAAAAATTGCCTATTCGCGGTTATCGCAAATTTGAACTTGAAAAATGTCAAATGTGCGCACCAACATATTTGTTTTTTAAAAAACCCGACTCGATCAACACGTTACACATTAAACGTCTCATAAGATAATTACGAGTTTTATTAAAAAAAAAAAAAAAAAAAAAAAAAAAAAAAAGCGAGAGTAATCGGATTTTCTATTAATTGTGCACTACCGCAGAGTGCAAAAAATGTCGCGGAAAAAAAGTTTCTTTCGAAAAATATCGAGACGCGAAATATCGACGGGAAACTTTTACGTTCGATTATATTTTCATCAAGGTACGGCGAGTCGATTCGCTTCGAATATTTGTGGTGTTTTGTCAAAAGCTGCCGCAATATCTTTTATCAATACATTGCAACCGTATTCGCGTTCGCGCCAATTCCCACAATTTGCCGAACAAATGACGCTTCGCCATGTTCCGCCCGTTCTATCATGTCTTATCGGTAGAAATCAAATTTATGTTTACGTTTCTTACGTCAATATTCCGTTACTGACGCAACAAAGAGCCGGTAGAATCAAATGCGCCAAAACACCATTCAAAACGAAACGACATATAACTCGCGATCTCTTCTATTTCTTTTCACAGATATTTTTGTTCGAGAACCAATCGATTTTGACATCAAACACGTCAAGAGAATTTGTGTTTGTTGTCGGAAAACTTTTGTACAATCTTGCCACCAAAAACTTACGCGGCTTCGATCGAAAATAGCAGCAGAGTTCTGAAGTTGCTTTTTCAATTTTCCAGGCGTTGACAAACGTTTTTCACAAACCCGATAATCGACGCGTTAGCAATTGAAATCATGTGGCGAAAGGCCGCAAATGTCGCGAGAGAGGACAGGATCGATGCACATGAGATCGGCAGCCGATCGCGAGTCAAGACCGCGTTTACATAGGCCTCTCGTATCCTTATCCATGCAATATCCGGTTGACAGAGATCGATAAAGCTTTACGTTCGATGACACTCGAGATCGATCTCCGCCGCTTCCCAATCTCTTCGGAACGTTACCGCAGATTCGATTCCATTTGACGCTATCTGGCCACTCGGCAAGGAGCGATCGTCGTTTCTGGGTAATTGCTATTGTGCCTTCAAGGCTGTGCTGCCGTGTCGATGTCGTCGCGTT